TAGTTTTTTTAATGTTGATTTATTTTTTTGGAGAGAGGGAGAGAGCACCCACCAGTGGGGGGAGGAGCAGAGAGAGAGAGAGAGGGAGAGAGAGAGACACCCAAGCAGGCTCTGCACTGTCAGCACAAAGGCCAATGCAGGGCGCGAATCCATGAACCCACGAACCGCGAGATCATGACCTGAGCCAAAATCAAGAGTCAGACACTTAACCAACTGCGTGTCTTCCAACATTTGCCCCCCGTGTCTTGAAAGAAATGATATGTTCCTCCTCTCATTTGAAGCAAACATCAGATTTTTTTCATCGTACACAAATATTTACAAATAATGTAGTATCTCATATTTAGAATTATGCCAAGCTGTTCACTAAGCCCCAGGAAGCAGAGGGTTGCCCTTAACCAAAATGTGTAGGGTGCAGGGGGAGGGTGACTGGGGGAGGTCAAGTCAGTTCTGGACAAGTTAAGATGGATGTGCCCCAGATGTCCTAGCAGAGATGTGGAGGCGGCTGGACACGGGATGGAGTCCAGGGCAGAAGTCTGGTGGAAGTGGAAACCAGGAGACATGCAGGTGGTGCTGAGAACCAGGAGATGAAGTGATAAGGAAAGGCAGGGGTGTAGCCAGAGAGAAGAGGTTCAAGGACTCAGCTGCGGGGTGCCCCACACTCGGAGACCAGGGAGTTCAGCAGACACCAGCAGGGAAGCTAAGAGGTGACCAGTGATCGGGGAAACCAACAGGTAAATAGGGCAGTAAAGCTTAGCGAGATGTCCTCAAACTAAGAAAAAAAGTGTGTCGAGGAAGAGGGAGTGGTCACATGTGCCACCTGCCCCTGACAGGAAAAGCAAAATAAAGACAGGACATTCAATCCTGGACTGAGAAATGGGGTCGCTGTGGCTCTGAAAGACAAAGTCTCAGGGGCACGGTAGCTGTTGAAAGCTTGACCAGATGGGGTTCACGAGACGAGTGGAGACCAGATTTGAAGACAGTGAAGACAGTGGAAGCAGGCTTTTAAGGGTCTTGTGTCCTGAAAGGGAGCACGGGGTGGGATGTGCATTAAGGAGGCCACTTGTTGTGCTGAGCACTGGGTGTCGTATGTAGGTGATGAATCACTGCATTCTGCTCCTGAAACTAATATTACGCTGTATGTTAACAAACTAGAATTTAAATAAAAACTTGAAACATGAAAAAAAAAATGAAAGGGAGTAAGAAAGAGAAGGGCTTACCAGAGGGGAAATTAGTTAACAGAGAATGTTTTGTTATTTAAAACAATTTTTTTAAGTTTATTTGAAGGGAGGGAGGGAGGGAGAACGAGCTAGAGAGAGCACATGAGCAGGGAGGGGCTGGGAGAGAGGGAGAGAAAGAGAAGCCCAAGAAGGTTCTGTACGGTCAGCGCAGACCCCAACGTGGGGTTCGAGATCACGACCTAAGCCGAAGTTGGACGCTTAACCGACTGAGCCACCCAGACGCCCTGAGAATGTTTGGGTTTAAAGATTCAACGAGACAGTGAATAAAAGGCTTTGGGGGGAGGCGTGCACGTGCGTGTGGAAGACGGGCGAAACCACCATCTGCGTGTGCTGACTGAAATTATTTCCTGACACGTACAAACTCGAGATGGAGTGGAGGAAGGATCCCATCCGGTCCTGAGGCAGTGGGTGGGGCTGGCGACCGGGGAACAGTCTGGCTCAGCAACACACAAGACGACGGTGGTGCAACCTCTCGCATGGCCTTCATTTGGGGGCACTGAAATGCGCAGGGGTATTGTTTGCCCTTGGAACAGTCTTCATCGTGAGGGACAGAGCAGCTGACCAGGTGCAGGGGAGGCACAGAAAGCCAAATCCAGCGCGCCTGGCTGGCTCAGTCAGTAGAACATGCGAGTCTTGATCTTGGTTGGGGTCGTGAGTTCGAGCCTCACATTGGGTGTCGAGATTAAAGAAAAAAAAGAGTCAAGAGTCCTTCACTCAGACCACTCTCCTACCTGTCAACAGATGTCTACAAGGATGCATGAGCCCCCATGAGACCCCAATATCTTCTTAAACATTCAAAATTCTCACTTAGATCTTCCAAAATGCATCTGAATCCTTCTTGACTTGCCACACAGAATAATCCAGAAGGTTCTCTGAGACCTTCCCTCCAAGTCCTGTGTCAGACGATGATTCTTGCACAGACTCCACACAGGTTACTGTGTGGAACAGATGCTGGGGGGCACCTCCCAGATTCCCCCCAACCCCTAGGACCGAGGCACCATGAGCTGCGGCCAGAGCTCCCTGTGGCTCGAACATCACAGGGGAACATGCCTCTGCCTAATCCCTCTCCTTTCATGTCTCCTCAAGTGTCATCAAGTTTCCCAATTAAACCCCAGCTGGCAAATCTCAGCCTCAGCATCTGGGTCCGGGGGAACCTGGGCCACGACAACGGCTCCCCAAACGGACCCATGCAGCCCCACAACCACCCACAAACCACTTCCAGGCGCTCCTGCGGGAACCGAGACACCCCTTCCCAATAGGTCCACACACCCCTCACCCCACAGCCATGCCCGGGACACGCGCACACACGTTCACTGGGCCATCTGGGGGCCCACACTTGCTTCTGCTTCCCTCCCGCACACCCCTCTCACCTCACTTCCATTTTCCCCATCTTCCCACCTCTCCTCCACATGCGCCTGAGCAAACTGGGCCAAGAGGCACGGGCACCACACCAGTAACGGACACGAGTGCAGAGTGAAGGACACCGGGTCTTCAGTATGGACACCAACAAGGTGGCCCCGCCAGGGAACACTTGTGAGCAAGTGAGGACAACAGGGAGTCCAGTTGAAAAACAGTCAAAGGTTGGCCGGATCCAGTGCGGTGGGACGCAAAGGACAGAGAGGCCCCAGATCTCTTCCCAGAGGCCACCAGGTCTCCCGTCCCCATTCACAGCAAGTTGCAAGAACCTCTAGTTCTTCGTGGTGCCTATTTTATGTCCCCTGAGGCTCCTGACCTCGTCCTCACCCTTCCCGAAGGGAAACTGAGACTCTTGACTCTGAGCAGATAACTGCTGGAAGCCAAGCCCCCGCCCAGGATGCAGCCGGTCCCTGGTGACGTGCACAGCCCGGGCCACCTGGGAGCTGGTGAAGGGCAGTGACGCAGCAGGTGAACACGTGGGGACCCCTGGTCTGTAGGGCCTTCCAGGCCCCGGTTCGTCCTTCTGCTCTTGAGTAAATAAGCAGCCACAGGAGATTTCGATCCATTAACTGAAATTCCCAGAACAAATACTGGCATGAGCATCACCACCTGCCCGGCCTCCTTGGTCTTCCCCGAGGACTACTCAGCTCTACCACGGGCCCGGCAGCTCAACCCAAGCCCAAAGTGAGGTGCAGCCGCCAGCCTGGGAAGGAGGGACTTCGTGCTCCCTCCAGCTGAGACAAAACAGGAAAGACTCAATGGAGACGATTCAACCTGCATAACACGACAGATGGCTGGGGAAGGGCACTTGAAGTGTCGGGCTGGAGAGCCTGGAGAGCCATCTCTGAGCCTAAACCTGAAGGAGAAAGGGCCAGAGCTGACATGGTTTAGGGACATCAGGTCAGAGCAGGGACGAGGACCTGTGACAGAAAAGGCTGGTGTTTGGGAACAGAGGAAAGGTGATCGTGACTGGGGCACAGCGAGCTGTGAGGAGAGGGTAAGGTCCCAGGACGAGGCTGGAGACACTGGCAGGGCCTGACGATTCGGGCTGTGCAGCCACAGTGAGTCTGTATTCTGTCCTGGTGATGATGGAGCC